CCCACTCGGCAAAGCTTTTCTCCCCCACATTTTCCACATTTTTTTATATATTTTTTTAAAATCATATTTTACGCTCAATTATTGACGTTCAAAGTCGGGGATGTCGCAGACAATGACAAACTAATGGCCCTCCTGGGAGGGGGAGGACACTCTCAACCGGTGCACTGAACAAAAATGACTCGACCAGACTGAGTCCTTGGTCTTGAGCTCTAGAACAAGTTGGTGTATTTTTTCCGAGTGCCTTTGAAAGGCAAGTCAAGTCAATGTCAAAGGACAAGGAGAGGACTGTCATTTGGCACTTAATAACTCAGCATCCTCCCTCCCCGACTGCTCGACTGCTCGACTGCTCGAATGACAATTTGTAAAGCTTTCAATGGAGCAGCCTATAAAATATCTACGTGATGGCTATGCCAGGTCCTTGCGGTGGTGGTGATGGTGATGGTGGTGGCTACCCCCACCACCTGCCAAAGTACGCTGGAAGGTGGCGAAGCCTCTCCAGTAATCAATCACTCAATCAATCAGCAAATAATATGCAATGCAATTTCTCGTCTCTACAAAATGTTTGCCAGAATCCGAAAAACTTCCGCCATTCCGCCAAAAGGAAGCTCATTTTGTGGGTAACTGGGGGTGGCTTTAGGGTGGCTCCCAGGGTGGCTCCCAGGGTGGTTCTGGGGTGTCTTCCCTGACAGCCAATCAAGTGGGAAGAAGGTAGTAATTGTAAGCCTCGCAAGCAACAAAATCAAAGTATCTGCCGAGCTGGCGGACTGCCGGGGCTGTCAGTGAGGACCAAAGGATATTCAGATACACGACTGATGAAAGGGAAGGCCAAGTGTGTCTTATTTGCCTAATGTACTTTAATTTTCCATTTGATGTTTAATTTAATTCCGATTTTACTTAAAATGTTACTTAAATTCAACGAGAGCCTCGTCGCATGCGATTTGTTTTCTGTTTTCGGGAATGAAATAAATTTTATTTCGGTGACCAAGCATCTGAAACTTCGATGATTAACTTTTTCGATTAACTGAAAATTCCCAAACACACCCACACCCACACACGTGGCCCCTGAAAAGTATGGTATGGCAGAAACGGCAGAAATAGACAACAAGCGGAAAACTTTCTCATGGCGATAAACAATTTCCAACGTTTTTCCACCAAAAATCCGACACCACGCCGGCCCTCTGCTTGGCTTTCCTACTTTTTTTTTTATGGCATAAATTTATTTTAATGTCTATGCTTAACAATTGGGAGTGATGCAGAGTAGCAGCCCTGCAGCTTGTCCCCCAACTTTCCTGGACTCTATACACTCAATCAGCTGCTGCCTGGCCAAAGTTTCCTCCAGCAGGAGTCCTAGCTCCTAGCTCCTTCTGGAACTTTTGCATATTGATAAGGAGAAGCGCCAGATAAAACAGATTAAAGGCAATGGGGAGCGAAATGTTGAAAGACTGAAACACTGTGGGAAATGCTTAGTGAATCCTGCTATCTGGTCTAGTCTCTGGTAACCAATTCGAATCCAATCCGGCAGCCTGATTGATGTCTGTCGGCCATCAATCGTGCCGGGAGGTGGAAAAGTAATAATTATGGGTGCCTGTTTAAGCCAAAGGCAATTGTTTGTGATGATAAATGATGTGTGGGTGCGCCATTCCCAAATCTCATCTTGTGTGTGTATCATCAATAATTCGTACGAAGATCCTTGCCAGAGACCCCAATGGAGTCGCAACTAATGAGGCCATCAGCAAATGCCACCAGCTGTAAAATATTCAAATAGAACAATCAAAAGTAATCTTCCTTTTCCAAGGGGGGAACTCCTCAAGGAGGTGCCAACAACAAAAAAAAGTCAAGAATAAATAAAAAACCAAACCGAACCGAACAATAAAAAACTTTGAGAAACGAAATTTCCCCAACGAGCCATTTTTTGTTGTTCTTTTTTTTTTGGCTTTTCTTTTGCCAAAGAAAGTACACACACACCCCACTCACACACACCCCACTCACTTACACACACACATACAGAAATTATAATAAAAAGAAAACCGAAACCAAAACTTAAAAGTGGCAGAAAAAAAAATAAAAATAAAATACATGAAACTGTGGTGAACATTTTTACCTTTTTCCGGGGCCTTGTGTGTGTACTTTTCCAAAAACTGTTTTAAAAGCTTAACCACGAGAAAACTGCGAATATTCCCTAATGACACGGGAGGTGGAGGGCAGAAAAGAAAAGCCAGGAAAATTCGGCACAAAGCCCAGAAGGAAGGGGCTGCGATACGGGCTCGGCTTGACTTGGCTTTTTCCCTGAAAGGTTCTGCCAGGTTCCCTCTTCCATTTCCCCAGTCTTTTTTCGAGGTTTTTTTCTCAAAAAGAAAGCCTTTTGAGGGAAGAACTAGTCGGAAGAAAGCTCCATCCAAAGACAGGACTCAATTGCCGTAAATATCTGCATAGGCGCGGCAATCAAGATGCTTGGGGGATTGCCAACAGTTCCTGCCAGGATTCTTCAAGGAATCACTCACAGCCGAGATCCTAATAACTTAATAAGGGGGCCACACCCCTTTTTAATTTAATCCAACAACTCGCCGACGCCTTTGTCTCGGCGAGAAAGAAAAAAGAAAACTCAGTCTCATTGGCAGTGGAAAATTGTAATTTTTACACCTCGACACACCCCCCCTTGGCACTTGGCACGCTTTCCCGGCGCCCCTTTCTGGCCTTCCCTTTGGGGAAACTCTGCCGCCACTTGAGCAACTTTTAGTGCGTCTCAATGCGCATTTTAAATAAAATAGAAATTCAATTTACTTTAAATAAGCGGCCAAGACTAGGGGGCTAACAAGGTGACAAGGAGCGACACGTCAATGCCAGAGTTTCCACAGCTTTTCCGCAGCAGCAGCGCAAATGAAATGTAGAAAATCTACAAAAAATAAAAAAAAAACGAAAGGAAAATGAAAGAAAAACTGAAAAGAAAAAGCCAAGGAGGAGAGGAGAACTTTTTCACTTTTTTTTTTTTTTCTTTCTTAAATGAACTTAAAATTGACTAAATGTGCTAGAAAAAGGTGCGAAGCTCCTTGGGGAAACCCTGGAAAATGGGGCTGGTGGGTGGGAAAAATGCCAGAGACGAATATAATTAAGCGGCGTTTAAAATGCTTGTACTAAGACACGCTCAGGACGATGGTGGATGGTGGATGGTGGGCGGCTTAATTGGGAGGCTGGGTGGCTGGGGAAAAACTTGAAAAACTTTCCACAAAGTTTAATTTAAATATGAATGAGCGTTTTTCCTCCCCATCCGCAGAATCACTTGTATACTTCCCGTCGCCGTTACGGTTCCATTCATTTTCGTTTCTCTGAAAAATAGATGAGATTTTCGTTTTGGATTGGAAAGCTTTTCTTTCGGTAACTTGTAGAATTCTTATAGCGAATAGTTTATAATATATTTGATTACCCAATAATTCGGAAGAACTGGCCCCAAGTTGTGTGCTGGGCTTTCTTCGGAAAATCCTGGCACGAGGCTTTCTGTTAAGCCGCCACCCCACCATGAGATGGGGTGTCCTTGGGGTGGTTTCTAGGTGGCAGGACTTAAAGGGGCATTATAAATTTCTACCTAATCCGAGCGGCTTAGGGGCTCCTCGTCCTCGTTTTGTTTTCATTTCAAGTTCCCCCAAGCCCGGTACGAAGAAAAAGCCCGGAAAAGTCTTCTACTTCGGCTTTGATTTCGACTTATGTTCGCTTCACAACAGATTTGCTTGCTGGCCATATTGTGATGCTGATGCTGTTGTTGTTGTTATCCTTGCTGTGTTGGTTGGTTGTTTTGTTGCCAGGTGATAAGGCAAATCGTATCCTTAAACCACTAAAAGGGATCAACAGTGGGTGTAGAATCCCGGCTGGGGCTGGGCTAACGCTTCGAATAATTATAAAAACAGCCTTCGAGTGCACTCTCAGTGCTCAGTGCTCAGTGTAGGGAGTTGTGGTTGTGTTGGTGGAGGCGTGGCAGCGCAATCCTGGGGGTTGGAAGGACATTGAAGTCCAGGCGCCACACTGGCGGACGCCGCCGTTCCCCTCGTTGTTTGCTTTTATTTTCTTGTATTTTTCTATTTTTTTTTTTCGCCGCCAAGTAAAAGCAAGAAAAACAAACAAAAATAGACATAAATACTGTTGGGGATTTATACTTTATATCTCTCTATCTCTCTGCGAGTGTGTGTGTGTTTGTGTGTGTGTGTGGAAGGACACTTGTAACACTTGGGAGTCAGAGGAAACACTTTCTTTCAGCCTCTAATCAATTTATTGAATTTATTTTGCTGATTTTATTAAAGAGAGCGCCTAAGAAAAACAATTTTTTTTTTTGGCAAAAATACGAGGCAGTGCGAGGGCGTGGCAGTGTGCCAAAGTGGATTCTGCTGGCGCCTGGCATAATTAAGTTAGAACCTTTTTTTTTTGTGACGTGACTGGGGGTTTTGCCGATTCCTTTCCCAATACTCTTTGATTTCGATTGTTGTTGCCATTGAAAGGATGTTCTGATTGCTGGCTAAAAAGGATATGGGGCCAGGAGTCTGTTAACTGGCTTACTCAGCGACTTGATAGAATGTTTCTATGATAAATGATGGCTGCCTTACTCTGGATTTTGTATTTAAAAAGCCCTTTTGTTATCTCTGGGTTTAATTTTTGGTAATCAAAGTTTCGGCATTCGTTTTCCATTTCCCATTTGGCATTTCCCATTTTCCATTTACTGTTTTTCAGTTTTTCCCAAAAGTCGAGCTGGAACCCCAGACAGACACCGACACAGACACACATCCATTATTTCCAATTCAAACTTTGCCAATTACAAATCTGCTGTGTTCGCCATCAACTTTTCGCATATTTTTGCCATATTTTTGCCCATCTACCCCGTCCCATGTGCACACACATGGAGTATTTAAGGACCTCAAACCAAAAAAAAAAAAAAAAACCATCTAATTGTGTACATTTCTGGACAAAAGTTTATCTCATATTGATATATTGTTTCGCACTTCTTTTTTTTTTTGCAGCTGGTCGGCGGTGAGTTCGATATGGAATTGAATTTTGTGATACAGGATGCGCAGAATATCAAACATATGCTGGAGCTTCTGGATCATTGTCCGCCCAATCTGCAGGTGAGTTTTCTGGTCATACATACATATAACCATATACATATATATGCTCTTCTCATAAAATATACATTTTATTGTGCGAATGCCCCCACTGGTGGAATCGTGGTGACTTTTTAATAGAATTTAATTCAATTCGCGCTGCGGCATCAAAGAAAATTAACAACACGGTGGGCGTGGCAGCCGAAATTGCGCGTAATGAAAACGCAACATCAACATGAAAATGCCTTTCAACTTTTCCCACCCATCCCAGCCCCCTCCACAAACGTGTTTTCACATTTTCCTGGGTTTTCCCCTTTTAACTGCTGGTTTTCACGGTGCTTTTTTTCGTCTTCCTGATTTGCATATGAATATGCACAGTGGTGGTTAAGTAATTAGTTCGAAGGAAGGAGAAAATATTAAAAATTAGGTAATATTAATATTTAAATAATGGTTTAATTTTTTAAAAAGTTTTGAAGCTAATATTTAGACTCTGCTAGTAGTTCAAGTTCAAAACCTACTTATCCTCTAAAACACCTATTTTTGTAACACTTCTGTACCCCAATGGTTGTGCCTGAGTGGGTGTAAAAGTCAGTGGGTGTGTGTGGGTGTTAGGGTGGCTCTGTGCCAGTGTTTGTGCTTAACAATATTTTACACCTGACGTTGTCGCTGTTCGCTCGCTTGTGCCATCAAATTATTAGCATGACTGCTGGCGAAAGGATCTCCCAGTAACTTTTCATGTGTAAGCTTTTTCCTTTTTTTTTTAAATACACACTCGTACTCGTGCCAGTGTGTGTGCTGACAGGAAGTGCTCCCTCCAGGGTGTGCCAGTGAGTGAGTGGGTTGTGTGTCATCCAAAGTGCGAAGGCGCAGACATCGGAAGTCGGAGGAGTTGCTGCAAAAATCGCAACAAAGTTTCCACTTTATGAGTATTTTTTATTTTTAGCTGCATTGGTTCATTGACCCACAACAAGATACCTGAAAGGGTTATGCGAAATAGTTGAAGAATAAAACTGAAAAATATTATGATTATAGAAGGCCCCCCGTTGGGCGCCAAACTCAGACTGTTGAAGCCCTTAAATCCGACATCGTCAAGTAACTATTATACATTTATTTACCTTGTCGTGCCATTATTCAGCACACAACTCCTCCTCATAAGTGCGTTGGTGGTGCTCCTGTGTGGTTTCGGTGGTTTCTGGCGGCTCTGCTTGCTCTGGGGTTTCCGCCCGGGCTGTGTGCGTAACAAACAAGCGATCCATTTGAGAGAATCCTACATTACACAGTCGCCCAGCCCACCCACCATGCTACAAGGACACCACCCACCCGGAAAACCACCCACTCAGTAACTACTCTTTAATGATATGCGTCAGTTGCCGCCTGCTTGGCTTAGATGTTGCGGTTCTTGAGGCTTCACAATTTATTTGGCTTTTTAAATTAATGAAAATTGTCACTGACAAATTCTGGCAGTGTGGGTGAGTCCTGAGTCCTGGGTGGCTGTGGCAATGGATGGGGCATGGTGTGTAGCATGTGTCTCCGAAATTGTTGGCATATGTAAAACAAGCATCAAATATGCATCACCGCCAGCCAGAGGCAGAGATCTTTTACTTCATTTGGCATGCGAGGCAGGTGTGTGAGCCTTCGCCACACCACCAACTTTACAGCAATTTTATGTGCCATTCCCCCCCCCCCAAAAAAAAAGGGATGCTCCGGCCTCTTGTAAATATTCCAGGATATGTTTAGAATTTGTCAGAGTTTTTATTAGAGTCACTTGAAGACAAAACAATTACCTGAATGATTTTATTAAAATTTAAAAAAATAAAAGAAAGGGCAGGGAAGAGTATTTGAAAAGCTTGAAGACTCTGCTTTGGAGATTTTCGATTTTCCGCCACATCTTGTGGCGGTGGGGAAGCATTTTGCATACAAAGGATAAAGTGTCGCGCCTTTGATTTATGTTCGAGTACAGTGGGCACTCGTGTGTCGCATAACAGTGAGTCCTTCCGACGATTCTGGCACCTTCCACCACCCACCACCCACCATTTTGTGTTCAGCCGGCATTCAATTGATTCGGCACGTAGCCCGGGCAAGTGCAAATAACTGTTTTAGTCCTTGTCCTCCTGGCAGGATGGGCAGGTGTTCCTGCTCCTTTTGACCCCGAACTCCATGTCCGTGCCCGTGCCCGTGCCCTGCCAAAGGGTCCATAACATTTTATTCCTGACAATAAATTCATCGGGTGCGGGGGCTATCGAGACGGGTCCTTTAAATCAAAGCTTCTTTTTGAAATTAAGGCCGTAATGCGGCCTACCAGTAACCTGCTGGCAGGAGGCCGCCGTTAACCCGCCCATGGACCAGACCACCGCATATTTGTCGTGCTCCGCCGCCTGTGTGTATGCTCAATAAAATTTTACAGCCTCTGCCAGCTCAGCAATTTGCGTAACTCTTGCCACGGTCGCCTCTTCTTCTCGCCCAGGAACCAGAAACGCAAATAAAACCAAAAACCAAAAAAAAAAAAAATAATAAAAAACGGTGAGAAAGAAAAGAAGCTAAAAAGGATCCAAGAACACACATACAGAGGGAGTGGGTTATAGAGGAGGGGAAATGGGCCAGGACCGCCGCAGGACCCCCGTTGATTCAAAGGTGGGAATCAACAGACGAACACCTTTCACCTTTCGTCGAATTGGTTTCCGCTCCTTTCCTTCACCGCCCCCCGCATATCGCCCTTTGAATTTGCCTTTTCCGTTTCCATCTCTTTCCATTTCCATTTCCATTCCGGGCTTTCTCTTTTTGTCCTTTTTGGTTTGGCAACAGCTGTAAATAACGTTGTTAAAGCTGCAAACAATGTCCTGGCGCTGACCAGGGCAGGAGGTCCTTTGAAATCAAAGCTGATTCAATGATAATAATACTACTCCACAGCCCACAGAGTTGTTCTCTTTTTTGTTCATATTTGAGAAAAGGTGTTTATTAATTCAAACTATGAGAATATTATTTGTATTATTACCTCAGACATCCAAAGTATCGGGTATCATGTACACTCAGAAGCTCTCAGACACCTTGTTTCAAAGTGTGGTCTCGGGGCTTCGGGAAGCCCCACTAGAACGAGATTCCCTCATGTATCTCTGAGCTGGGGCGATAAAAATGAAACATTTTTAAGCTTTGGCTGATGCCTTTTTTTTTGAGCGAGTGCGAAGCCATCGCAACATTTCAGCTCGCAAAGTATCTGAAAGTTGTATCTTTGGCTTAGGGCCGCTTATCTACATTCGAACAGAGCTCCGGGATCCGGGCACCGGGCACCGGGCTCAGGGCTCCGAGCTCCCTTCCACCCCAACTTTTCGTTTCTGTGACTGCCCAGCAAAGTTACACGGAGGATTAGCTTGTGATTATGTTGGCAGTGGCAGTGGCAGTGCCAGCGATTTCTATTCCGATTCCGATTCCGTTGCCAGTTGGCTGGCAACTTTTTGCGGCAGCCAAGGGCGGGGCAGGGGGGCAGGCAGGAAGGCAGGCCGTAGTTTTAAAGTCTAGACCGCGCCGTAATTATCTGGAGTGTGTTGGTAAATCATCAGCTACCGAGGGCCATACCCGATAGCCAAAGTCGGCCAGATGTATGCAGATCCTGGTGCTGTTCCGGCAGCCTCCCATTTTTATGGTACTGTGCCCCCGGTTGCTTAGCAGCCACTACGGGCACAGAGACGGCATCAACAAGAGCACATGCCATAAAATACATAAAATAGAAAGCAGCCGAGGGCTATACATGAAATTTATTCATGAATTGAATTTGTATTCCTCGCAGATATTTTATAAGTTTTCCATTTCTATTCGCTATCCAGCCACCCAGGGGTGTTGGCCATTTCCTTCCTCCCACTCCTGCAACTGATTCTGTTTTCCGTTTGCCAGTGTGGCTGTGTATTTCGTTGTGTACTTCAATTCCATAATGCCAAGCAATGAGCATAAGCTGATTATGTTTTTGCGCCAAGTACTAGTGGTTTCGCATTCCTTTCTATTCTAAAATTAATTGGCTCTTGTTGGAGTTATTAATTTGGAGTTTTTCCATTCCAAAGCCTTCACTGTGCTTCACATGCCGCCTTGGTCACACTGTGTATTCTCAAAAGTGTCACATTATACGACTGCATTGTCCTGGCCATTATTCCGCTCGTTTTGTGGTTATTGGCTGATGAGACTCCGTCGCCAGCTGGTCCCACATTAATTTTGTGATTGCTCCATTATACTTACGATGCATTTGGGACTCTGGTCACACTCGAAAAGCGAATTGAAATGCAAGCCGGCCGCCAGAAAGTCAGGAGAGTCAAGGCCCTGAATGGAAAAGCCACTGCACAGCGGCACAGGGGCCAGGACTCGAATCGAACTCGCCATTAAATATGAATTGTGATTGCCCCGATTGGAGGCGGGCATACAGAGCGAAAGAGACAGATGGCGGGCGGGTGAGTGAGAGGGCGAGATACGTGGGGGAATCGAATTGAAATGCACACAAGAATAACAAAAGTTTTACGGCGGACAGAGCAAGGATTGCCGGATTGGCAGGCAGGAGGCAGCCAGGCAGCTGGCTGGCAGAAGGAGAGAGATCGCCAGGAAGGACACACTTTGAAATGGGTTCAACATTAGCCAGGACCTGGCATTTGTATTGGCAACGCTGCCTTTTGTGTGTGTTTTTGGCCTTTTGATGCCGCCCCTTTATTACATTTGTGTCGCTGCCGCTATGCTTCTCTCTTCACTTTTTTTTTAAATCTCTGTCTGCGAGGGCACTCCTTTTTTTTAAACTTTAAAGAAAATATGTGAAAACATTCGATTTAAAAAGTTTTTTTTTTTTTTAAATTAAATACTTTTGCAAGCTCTCGCAAAATTCCTTGTCTGCTTTCAAAAGAGTTTTTGGAATGCCTTCTAGTTTTTTGCCCATCAATCCCCCTCGAGGATCCCTCGCCTTTGGGATTCCTTCCTTTGGCTATTTTTTCATGTTTCTTGTTGTTGTTGTTGTTGTTGTTGGTATTGGCATCACTCGTCACGTAAAAGGACAACGG